CCTAGGGAGGGGGTTGAGTCGCCATCCCTGGATGTGTTCAAGTGTCGTTTAGATGTGGTGTTGGGTGATACAGTTTAGGGGTGAACTTGTAGTGTAGGGTCAACGGTTGGGCTCGATGATCCCAAGGGCCTTTGCCAACCTGAAGTGTTCTGTGATTCTATGATCTTTAGGTATGCCTGTTGCAGAGGTGTGTTTAGTGCTGCTGCTATATTCTAGAATGAGATGAGTTGGTTTTAGGTTGAATGGAGGCTCTGGTCATGCATTGCGAAGGATAAACAAAGTTGATCCTTTTCTATGCAGTTATTTCAGTCACACTGTTGGGTTGGCTACTATGCAACATGCTTTATAGACATTTAAACACTCTTTTAAAAAATGTTTGTCTGAGAGATACCAGATGCCTTGGGTTTCATCCAAGGCTTCCATAGAAAACTGTAAGCACAGAGAAAAGAAATTATTTCCGATATGTTTCCTAGCCAATTACAGTACTGCTTCCATACTCAAACTGATGTTGCTGGTAACCCTGGTATAGGTAGCAGAAGATGACTTAGTGCATGCTAAGGCTCAATTTGCTCATTTCCATGTGACTTGTAGAATGACCTACTTTGCCTTGAGCTCTTTGTTGTTTCAGCCAAATGTGCTTGGATATACAGGTCTGGGTTTCATTAAGATGCCGCTCAGCTAGTACTGGGTTTTGTGGTTTCCGCTTTAAAGCAAGCTCTCATTACTTTGACCTAAACACATTTACTTAGAAATGTTTGTGAAATAAATATTTTTTTTCTTGATCTTTTTCAGATTATCAGAGGCTGATGACTGTGGCAGAGACCATCACAGCACTAATGTTTCCATTTCAGTGGCAGCATGTGTATGTTCCTATTCTTCCAGCATCCCTCCTTCATTTTCTGGATGCTCCTGTCCCTTACCTCATGGGCTTGCACTCTAATGGGCTGGATGACAGGTCTAAGCTGGAACTTCCTCAAGAGGTGAGAAGAGCTTGTCTCAACTTATTAAATATTGTCTCTGACTATAAGGGAAGTGAGAAATGAGCCAAATCACTAGTGCTAACTGTAACAGCTGATCTTGCTGGCTCTGGTTTGGGATAGTTCTATATTATTTGGAGATGCTGAAGAAATAGATATATAATCCCTATTTCACATGAACTGTGATTTTACAGATATTGAATTGGGCTACAGACAGAATGTTTTTGTGCTGCAAAACAGCCCTGTAGTGCTAGGAAATGCAAGAAAGTGCAGTGTGAATTCACCAGCTATGTCCAAAAGGCCATACAGCAGCTTCTGAGCGGTGCTGAGTGAGCAAAGCTGGGCTGGATTCAGCACTGTGCTGGTTCCTGGCTGCACAGGGTTGGGCTGGGTTTCCTTGCACTGTATTTCTGAGGTGGGGTTGGCTTACGTGGACCCAGCCAGTCAGATGTGTGCACCAAACTGATTTCAAAATTTTTTTCTATAATGCATGCTTCAGTCTGCAGCAATACGTCAGCGTATACATGAGCAAACTGGTGCTAGTTGGGATATTGCTCATAAAGTCCTCTGTGTAGTGAGGCTCTGTTATCACCAGCCACTGTATAAAGGAGAAGCAAACTTTCTGTTAAAGGTTCTGCAACTCATATGTGGGGATGGGACTACATTCAAACTGCTTGGAGGCTGTTTTTGTTGACTTTATCCCACTGTTCACTTCACAAATATCCGCTATAGGGACATACCAAGAGCGTTTAAGAGCTGATTGTGAGGATCAGGAGAGCGAGAGTGGCTGAGCAGTATGTGGGGTAGCAAAGGAATTATGTGAGGGGCCAGTAACCACCCGTGGGAAGTGTGTCAGGTGGCCAGTGTCTGGCCGGCTCGTGAGGCAGTTACATCAGTCATTTGAATGACTTCTGTCTTCGAGCACCATTGAGTGGTTTATTTGCTTTCGTGTATAGAAAATGCCGAGTGTTAATGGTGTGGTCTGGCTGTTGGGAAGAAGCTGGACAGCTCTGTCAGGTCGCCCTGTGGGAAGGGAGTGGAAAGACAAGTGGTGGAACTGCACAGCTCTGGCCCCTGCTGGACTCTGCTTACTTGTAGGTGTAACCTCGCAGGAAAGGGACTGGGCAAACCAGGGGAAACATCCTGTTTATAGGCACTAGTGGGGGTCTCTAATCTTTGCCATTTTCTCTGGTTGTCTCTTCTTCTGTTTACATGACTGGGAAAGCAGAAACGTGGCAGGCGGAGGATTTTGTGATGGTGTTTTTTATTTTCACTATCAGGCGGTGCTTAACATAGCTTGATGCAAAAAAAATTCTTAAAAAAAACTGGGCGAAATTAAAGACAAGATATTTTTGTGAACCTCCAGTCTGGTCACCATGCCAACATTGCTCTTTTTCTCAAATCCATATGCTGATAGTTTTCATTTGTTTTTCCTGGAAAGTTCAAGGGAAAATTTTTCTTCAAACTGTGTTACTTTTTTTCTATGAAAACTCAAGTATTTAATATCTTGATTCCTTTCTTCTCTGCCTCTTTTTTATTTTCTTTTTTTGCACTGGCATAATTAAAAACAGAATAGTGTATGTTCTTGCCATGAAAACAATCTATTGCTTTGGATTACTGTATTTTTTACTAAATTTTACTTGTGTTGGCAGGCCTAATAAATATGGGTAGTATGCTTTTTAGCATGTTAATATTTACCGTGGATGTTTTCATTGTTATAACAAGCTTCTGAAAGGCTGTCCTCCTTTTGTAAAGAATTTCCTCATTTTAAAATCACTGTAATACTTCCAACTGAATAAAGCTATTTTAATTTCAAATAGGTATTTCAATTATTTAAAAGGTAAATGATTTTGAAGAGCTTTATCAGCTTACTTTGGAAGTTTAAAGTAAAGTAGTTGATCTATTTTTAGATGTTAAAAATGAAATTAAATTAGTACTAAAAATAATCTGGCAGCTCAGTTTACTTTTTTTTTCCCCCAAATAGCTTTTTATGAAGGTGGAGGAGTAGGTTTTTGATAGTTATCTCACAGTCAGTCAGACTTGTCTGGGAAGGCCGAGAAGGGAGGAGCCTGGACTGAGATAGCAGCAGCAGTGTGATGGAGTGTGCTGCAGGACTTAAATTTGTCCTTCTGGTGCTTCAGTGCTTTCTTATTCAAAGAGTGAGGTCTTAAAGCCTGATGTGTATGACTTAGACTAAGAAGTCCCCTTAGCAGTCACTGGGGAGTTGAGGTTTCTTGTGAACTGTTGAATTCCTCAAAAATAAAAATAAACAAAATAAACAAATCCAACCCAAACAAACAACCCCCCCCAAACCTATTGTTGCAACAAGAAGTAAATGAACCATTTTAAAATGTTAAGAAGAATTCTAAGCGCATGCTACTCTCACTGGATTAACCTGTTGGCCAGTATTAGTATTTCTGATATTAATTGTTTAATCTGTCAGATTTAATGTATTTGGAATGGCAGATTACAAGTTCATCTCAAAACTACTTTGCTTTATGATTAGGCTTTCAGATACTCTTTACTTAAAGAGCCAGAGAAGCTCAACACTGAATTCCTGATGTAGAAATTGTCAAGGAATATGCATAAAACTTGTCGCTGTACAACAGTAGAAGAGGACATATGGATTCCGTAATTTCTACTTCTATAAAGACAAATTTATCACTAGAAAATAGGCCATTAATATTTAACATTGCTTATCTCTAAAGTTTTGAATGTATATGATCCTTTATGAAATCATTAGGATTATACAAGGAACTGAATTTCCAAGTCCTGCCTCTAGGCTCTTGACTTATAAATATCGTATCAGAATTTTTCTCACTTAATACAAAAGGTATATAAGCAGTTTTAATTTACTTTGAATTCTGAAAAAAAATATCTTTTCATTTCTTGAAACGCATAAACTACATCTCTGCTGTTAATCTATTTACATAGATGCATGGGACAGCTACTGTTAAAGAAAGCAGTATCTAATTTAGGCAAGGGCCAAAGAAGTGAACTTTGACAGAAAATCTGGTTAGTGCTTCTCAGTTGAAAGGTGTTGTGGAATAATATAATATTGTTATCTAGCATAGCACGGATGCTGCAGTGTCACTGTAGACTTCTTGATTGTGGTTTTATAATAAAGTTTTAAAAAGACTAATTTGTCTTGCTCAAAGTGTTTTAGGCTAATATATGTGAAAACACTATCTGTCCTAACTCAGTCAAGTCTAGTTTAAGTCTTGCACATGCATGCTGTAAGGCTTGCTTTGGTTTGCTTGTGACAATCTCCCGTATTTTGGTCCCATCTGGTGATTTAAGGGAGTGATTTGCCGTGGGAGCATAGAAACCCAACTGTATCCTAGAAGTTGATGTTTTGTCAGATACTGATTAAAATCTTCATAAAAATCACTGCATTAGTACAAAATCCAAATTTAAGCTTATCCCTTGGACACGTCAGAACACTGATGTGTGATGTCTCTCTGATGGACAGCTCGTTGAAGCTCACTAGTGACTGCAAAATGTGACTCTGTGGCCCAGTAAAATTGTAGAAAAGACTTGATACTTAGTATGGGATTAAATTTCTTGTGCACGTCTGTGATGAAGTGCACTGAAAGTTAAGCTTGTTTTCATATGTTTTGCTGCTTGGCTGAAGGCTGTTTCTGTGTGCATGAGTGTCCATGTTGTTTCACCAATAACTGCATGAGAGGCTTGCAAGGAACCCGGGAGGGGAGCGGCTGGGCAGGAGCATGGGAGAAGTAGTGCTAGAATAAGGTGCTGCAGAAATCAAAGGGGAAGCAGCTATTACAGGGAATATAGCTGCTTCAGATATTACTGGCAAAAATGTGGTCTGTTTATCAGTAAGATAGATCAAAAAAGTGATTAAACTAGCTTGCTTGCAGATCACCAACCCAGCAAATACTAAAGTAAGATTGTTTTTTTGATATGTCTTTGAATTTCCTTTTAATAAACTTTTGCAATGCTACAATGATATTTTTAACAAGGAAGTTAATCTGGGCCATTTCATGCTACTGGATTTGCTTGTGTGTCTTGCCATTCTGTAATGCAGGAGAACAGTGGAAACTGAAATTATTGTGAGTGAAAAGAAGCACCTCTGAGTCTTCCAGAACTGACTAAATGAAACAGAAGTAATGTCTCATTTAAAAAGCATGGTTTTAATGAAGTGTTCCCAAGAGTCTTGGGCAATAACTTTTTCTTTTAGAAAAGTTGAAAGATTTAAAGGATGAAATCCAGTTCTCTGCTAACATAAGACAGTTATATATTCTCAGTATTTTTGTTTCAACCACTAACAAGTTGTTATTCAATGCTAAATATTAACAAATCCTGGGGATTTTTATCTTTGAATGTTGTTTTAGAAGATAAAGTTCTCTTGAAAAGCCTTTTTTCCTCTTGATGCCAATATGTTTAGACCATACTGACCAAGATCATTATTTTGAAAGATAATCACTGCATCGTATGCATCATCAGGCTGTCTGCTGGTGTAGTAGATCCTTGATAATATTGCAAATCTATCGACAGACTTCAGTTCTATATATTCCTGTGCTTCAGTGTTGAACAGCCACTTGAGGAGTTAAATTCATGTTCCTGAAAACTGCTCCTGCAGGTTGTTCTCAGTCACAAATTTGGGGTTGGCATGAAGATCAGTAGTGCTGAGAAAAAAATGCCAAAGGTCCCTGTTTGCTTACAGGAGTGGCACAGGAGCATTCTTCAGATTTTAGGACCACTGTGAAGACACTTTCCACAAGCCAGCCCTGTGTGTATAAATTTGCACATCTGTGTTTTCTGTGTGTTAAGTGGGTGGTTATTTGCAAGGATAGGACCTAATGCACAAAGGTGTTACATGCTGTATAAATGCTACAGGTGATTGGAGTTTAGTTTTTCAGTCCTGTATTCAAGCAGAAGCTCTAACTCAGAGCCATGCTTCAATCTGACTCCCTAGGAGGGGATGTGAAAACCTCTGTGTGACCTGGACTTTGAGCAACTGGGCTGCCCAGAGCATTGAAGTAGTGGTGATTGTGCTGTCGGAACTGACTGTTGTAAATTGCTGTAGGCATCTATTTACATACCATGTAATTATGTATTAATGTTTAAAATAAAGCATATTTTCTCTTCAGGATGTCAATGGGGTGGAGAGCTTACTTATTAGTGAATGTTAGTTGCTCCTTAGACATCTTTTTGTCAGACCCTAAATCATTTCCTTCTGTGTTTTTGAACAGAGCTGAAAGGAAGGATATGGGCTTGATGCAGGCTTTGCTAGATCTGCGTGTGGGTTTGGCCCTTATTGTTCTTGAGGTCAAACTAAAGAATTGCAATTGTCCTCTGGCACTGGAATTGATGGGTGTAGTTCAAACCCCACTGAGCCAATGGCACGTTGTGCCGGTGACCTCAGGGGACCAGGCTTTGGCATCAGATGCGGAAACATTCTTACTTGCGTCTGCGTTTCTACGGTTTGTGAGAGTTTCACCTGGACACGTTGTTATTTGTGATGATAAAACTTTACGGGAATGACGAATTTTTAAATTAGGATGCAAACCCCTTGTTCCTGAGTGTAATGTCTAGGAAGAGTATTTTATAGAGTGATGACATGTGTCCTCTCTTGTAACAATCTGCTATTAAAGTGGTGTGTTCTTTCAACTCTTTCTTTCCTATTCGGTTGTGAGAGTGCTTCCTTCTGTCCTTCTGCACTTACTGAATCATAAGAAATCACTGGACCTCTCTTAGCTCTAGTGATATGTATTTTTGCTGCAAAGCTATAGTGAGACCTGGGTTCAGGTGTGCCTCCTAGAATAATGTACTGAAGCTAGGTTGAAGAAAGTACCCCATAATCTGGGTGAAGAGGAGGCTGCACAGAAAAGTGACAGTCCACATTAGTTCTGCAGTGAAGACAACCTGAAATGCTGCTACAGAAAATGAAAGTTGCTTTTGTATACTTAACTTTCAAGCAGATTTCACACATGAATGGAGTTCTTGCTGTGATGTGTGTAATTATGTAATGTCATGAAACTATTTGATACAAATTTTGCAGTGCGGAAGCCAAAAGGGGAACCACCTGCACACCAAATACCTGGTGAGATAAATCCTTGAAAGATGCGTAGCCTTTTTTTGATGATGCTGTGAAAGCCACATAGGTGGTTTTTCTTTCTTTCTTTCCCTCCTCCTGCCTTGGTCTTTTTTGATGGTAAAGGACATAGAGATTGGAACAAGAAAACAAAACTGAACCTAGTTTGGTTAATTTTTTCCCTTGGTAGCAAACTTCTGAACTTGTTCAAAGAGTGGCCTTACTTCTCAAGTTGCTCTACAAAAATGAGAAGAAAACTTTATTGCAGCTTCTGCAACATCAAAACTCCTTTTAGAATGCAATTTGCCAAATCTCTTAGAGTGGACTGATAATCCGAGCAACAGACAGTCACATGCTTACATATGCATGTGTAGAAAATATCCTGTAGTTAAAATCTATCTGTATATATATCAAAAAAAATTACACATCTGTACTTAATATATGCTTTTTTTTTTGTACCTGGTAAACAGTTTTAAAATGAGTTTTCTTTTGGAGTTACCTCCTTGAAAGACCTGGAAATGTAACCCTTGTGCTACTTTCTTCAAAGCCAACCAACTGGTTCGGTTATAGTTGGGGCAAGTCCATTTTACAAGATAACCGTGCAAGTGTACTTGTTTTTTGTGCGTGTTAAAAGTTTCAAAGATTAATAAAATGTGACCCTTGTGCTTAGTGAATTTGTAATGGTATCCTGTTCTAAATTAAATTCCAGGCTAACCTGTGTTTTGTGGATGTAGACAACCATTTCATCGAGCTGCCAGAAGACTTACCCCAGTTCCCAAATAAACTTGAGTTCATTCAGGAAATTTCAGAGATTCTAATGGCTTTTGGAATTCCACCCGAGGGAAACCTTCACTGCAGTGAAAGTGCCTCCAAGATGAAGAGCCTCAGAGCATGTGACCTGGTTTCTGATAAAAGAAATGGCAACATAGCAGGATCACCTTTGAATTCCTATGAGCTGCTGAAGGAAAATGAGACTATTGCAAGACTTCAAGCACTTGTAAAAAGAACAGGTGTGAGTCTGGAAAAGGTAAGCTATGAAATTATCTGCACTCTCTGTGGAGCTGCAGTTGCAAGTGATGTGAAGTCACTGTCCAAAGACTGACTGTCTTCACTAGAAAGAACTTTCTGTATTACATGCTCACAAACTTTATGAAAAACTCTAGAGACAAGGGCAAGCTTGGGGGAGAGAGGGAGTGAGGTTTAACCTTACAGCATTTAGGAAAAACTTCGGCTATCCTCCAAGTGTTTCGTTGCCAAAGTAATGTATTTAAAAATACACCGTGCCTTGTTCGTGATTTTAAGATTTATTTTGAATTTGCACCACTTTCTTAAGATTTACATGGCTAAAACTGCCGTTAGAATCTAATCTTGGTTTCTATAGGAATCTTGTGTGTAGTTTTGCTTGGATATAATATGCTTGCCATAGGGATGCTGTGATGCTTTTTTCTGGTTGATGTTATAAAGTGCTTTGGTGTCTGATTCCCAGCAAGTGAATATGCACAGCTCCTGGTGACCCTGGCTGAATTTGTTTTTTCTGGGTGATCAGAATTGGGGAAAAAAGGTATTATCCAAACTACCTCTGTGGGTTTTTTTGAGCCTTTGTGGAAATTAGATTTTTCTCAGCAAATGCTTTGTTTCTTGTATGTTAATATTACCTTGACCACTTCTTCATTGCTGAGTATGATTCCTACCCCTGTGACTGTGACTTGGGCTACAGGTGGGGCCAGGCAGAGATAGAAACAGGCTGGGGAACAGCACTGCTGTGTGGGGAGGGAGCTGCAGGGGGTCATAGGAAGCAGCATTTGGTTACAAGACAGTAGAAGATGCTCAAATGAGCTGTGTTCCTCTTCTCAGGTTTTTCTATTGCCTTGTTTTCTTCTTGTTCAGGGGAAAATTGGTAAGCTTTTGTTCTTTTGCTGAATGGATTGGGTAAAGACAGAAAAAGTACAAGTCTTTAATTTCTTGTAAGTTTTTGCATGTTCAAGCCTTATCTACTCCACACTCGCTTCCACAGAAGTTAAAGTGGTGTTTTACTAGCCTTTTGGTGATGATAGGAATGTATAGGCTATAACTGTCAAAATTTTCTCAAATGTGTAAATAAAAACCTGCTTAACATACAGTTAAAGAGGAACGTATAGATGCCAAGTGCTACCTATGACATGCAGTTAGAAGAAACAGCTGAAGAGCAGAGCTCTCTCTAGCAGAGAGTGTGGCTGTGGGTGGTATTTATAGTTGGCCTCGGACTGCTCTAACTAAGGTCCTCTAAGAAGCATGGACAGCTGCAGCAACTGCATCATTGTGCAGATGTTGTAAGCTCTAGATGTTGTGTCTAATTATATGTGGTGGTGCCTCTTATAATAATTAGCAGAGGCAGGGGTAGCAGATGTGCGTTCGAACTAGTGCATGAGTGCTTGTGGCTTTGATTTTTATTTTCCTGGATAGCTCAGTTCCTGTATAATATGGATTGAATATCTGGATCTCACATTGCTGTTTTCATGAATCTTAGACCACATGTTGACAGAAAATGCATTTTATTTCATTAAAGATTACTCTGGCCTGTATAGTGATGAATTGTGCATTATGCTGCTAAGGACTTAGGTTACAGGAAATTGGCTACTAGACATACAAAGCTTCTTTCCACCGTGCAGTTCTTTTTCTGGAAGCTGGTATGTGTCAAATTGTAACAGTTCTAATCCCGAGCTTGCATTGCACCAGACAGAAATATGTATTTCTCTAATGTGCAGGACTAGTGAAAACCCTAAAAGTCCCATGCAGGTGATTAAAGTGTAAAATAAAGTAAATTAAGTATATGGCATACATGGGTGTGTATATGGTTGTTATCTATCCTTTTCTAATCTAAACCATATCTATTACAACCAGTGCTGAAGTAGACTATAGTTAAGTTCTGTAGAAAGGTTTTTTTCAGAATTTTTTTGATGTTGCTGTTTTATTCCAGTGGTGAAACTGCAAGTATATATATATTTTTTTTTTGTTGGAAAGTTGACTAGAAGAGTAGCAGCTGAATGGCAGATTATATACCTAGATTATATACTTTGTATACCTGGAATACCTGACACAGCAAAAATACTAGTTTTTTGTGTGTTCCCTTACTTTCTCAGCTGGAAGTGCGAGAGGAGACCAGTAGCAAAAAGGATCTTAAAATTCAGTGCGATGAAGAAGAATTCAAGATTTACCAGCTGAACATTCAAATCCGTGAAGTTTTTGCCAACCGCTTTACACAGATGTTTGCGGATTATGAAGTATTCGTCATTCAGCCCAGTCAGGACAAGGAATCTTGGTTTACAAACAGGGAACAGATGCAAAACTTTGATAAAGTAAGTTGTAATAAGAAGACATGTGAAAAGTAAAAACAGGATTCCAACCTAAGACACTGTTTATTGGGCCCCAAAATGGAAAACAGCACTGTCAAAATTGTAATTTTTTTTCCCCTAAGTTTCAGTGTTCCCCAAAAAAGTCACATCTTGTCTATTATGTGGAAATATATATACATGTGCACACTTAAAGATACTCTCTTTCTACAGTAGAAAAAGAGCTTAGAAAGCCTTACATTATGGCTGACCTCTACATTAAGGTTAACTATTACTAGTGAAAATGGTTATTTATTTTTTAACCGGAGGAGTTGCTGAATATGTTCGTGAATAAAACTATGACCCCACATAACAGTTTTGTATGTGGGTACCAACGTATTCATAGCTCTTTTCTAGGGAAACACAAGACCCAGTTCTTCGAATTTTGATACTGTCATCTTTGCTGGAGATCAGATATTTGTCAGCAGAACAGTTCACATGGGTGAAGATTATGTTGCGGCACTGCCTGCTGAAGTGCTAATCTGATTCGCATCAAATCGTATGAAAAGATTCTCCCCAACTTAATAAGCTTTGAGCCCAGCCAGAAGTATTTAACATCCACACCTGCAGTACTGTTGTTGTGGTTTGCTGAGATTCTGTTTTCACTAAGGAAATGCTAGTATCACAGTGATGGCCATGAAATTGAAGATTTCACATAGACTGTCTGTTTTGGAGATCGAGTTGTCTGCAATAAAACTTGGCCTTAAGTGGCACCAAATCATTCTAATACATCCTTAATTAAAAGAATTGATAGTTTTGGTGGATGTATCTCTAGAGCCATGCAAACTCTCAAACACTCTTATCTCTTCTTCTCTGTTAGGCATCTTTCTTGTCGGACCAGCCTGAACCTTATTTGCCTTTCCTCTCGAGATTTCTGGAGACCCAAATGTTTGCATCTTTTATTGACAATAAGATTATGTGCCATGATGAAGATGATAAAGACCCTGTTTTGAGAGTATTTGATTCTAGGGTGGATAAAATTAGGCTGCTAAACGTTAGGACACCGACTCTGCGCACATCTATGTATCAAAAGTGCACAACCATTGATGAGGCTGGTAAGAGTAATAAGCCACTTTCTTGACAATTAAAAAAATACAATCAGTGTTGTTTTGTTGTAGACATCAGGTTAAAGTTAAGTTACAATTCGTGCTCTGAAACATAAAAAAACCACAAAACCAAACCTACCAAAAAAAGCTGAGGTGTAAAGCTTAAGTGGGGAACTAACGATGTGTTAGATAGGAAACTGAGATGTGAGATGAAATTAATGTAAAGTTTAGTTTTACTCATCTGTTTTCCTGCATGATTTTTGCCTGTGAAAGTGTTTGAGTTTACAGAGATAAATATTTTTCTCCTTTTGGTGGCAGTTCTTCGATGTTTAATACACTTGTACTAGTGTGCCTGTTGGCGTCAGTAAGAAACTTCCACCTCCTCTCTGAAATTTGACGTCTGCTTTGAGTTGAGGATGTGTGGTTATAGATACAAGTCTGATTAAGACACCTGTAAAAAATTAACTGTCGTCTTCTTTCAGAGAAATCTATTGAATTACGGCTAGCAAAAATAGATCACACTGCAGTCCACCCACACCTGCTGGACATGAAAATCGGACAAGGGAAATACGAGCTTGGTTTTTTTCCCAGGCTTCAGTCTGATGTTTTATCCACTGGACCAGCAAGCAACAAGTGAGTAAGCTGAGACAACAGGTGCTGATTCTTGGCAAGATTGATAGAATGGTACTAAAGCAGAGGTACTAGAAAGCAAATTCAGTATAATTTTTCTTTTTTTCAAAGTGAGAACAAATCAGATAAGGTGGGTGGGTTTTGTGTGATATTCTGGGTTATTTGGGTTTTTTTTATGACATCACTTGCTTTTTGCTTTTTTTGTTTTAAAATCTGGACTCTAAGAAGAAAATTCACTTTAGAAAGCCCTATTGTTTGAGGTTATAGTTGATGGACTTTGAGTTACTTATAATTACTCTTGATATAAAAGCAGATATTACTGGATCTCAGTTAAGAGGTAGCAAATATTTTAGATTATTTTCTTACAAAAACTTTGAAAGAAGAGGGAAAAGGTGTGAATTGTAACTGAATGTCATAAAAGAATGGAAAGCAAAACACAAAGTGAGTATATGTGATCTCATTTCCTGAAATCCTTTGGTTGCCCAATGTTGGATTCTTCTACAGAGATTCTTTGTGTGTATTTGCAGCTGCACTTTGTCTGATGTAATTGATGTCAGTATGTTCAATATGTAATAAGATAGAAACTTCTTATTTCCCCTGTTGCCACTGCTTTCTCCCGACTTTTGACATTTGCTTAAAAATATCCTCTCTCTGTAGATGGACAAAGAGAAATGCTCCTGCACAGTGGAGGCGGAAGGACAGACAGAAACAACACACAGAGCACCTGCGTCTTGACAATGATCAGAGAGAGGTGAAAATTGTTCAACTATAGAAATCTGATTTTTAATTTTTTTTTCCCTGAATAACACTCTGTAACCTTTATGAAATGTCTAGACAGTTACTTGTGGTCCATTTCTACTCTGCTTATGTGTATTTTATACAAATGAAGCTTCTGGTCCATAGCTGACCAAAAATACTTAGTTTGCTTATTCTAAAAGTTATGCTTTACCCACTCTAAGGACAAAATTATTTCATCACATTTACAGGGTGATTCCTAAAAAATGTCATCATGTGCTTTAGTGTTTAAAAAAAAAAGGGGGGGGGTAGGGGGAAGGAGGGAATTGGTCTTAAAGGGTTTTAGCCACCTGTTTCATGTCTCTAAATAACTTAGTCATTCTGTGCTTTTTTTGTACATTTGGTGGAGGAAAGATAGCCACCTCCAGAGAGTGATTAGTTTCAAAAGGCAATGCTTCCGTTTTTAGGATCGAGTTATCTGTTTCAAGGTGGAAGTGTGAACCCACCCATACTATCAGGTTTGTGACTGTTTTTACACAGCACAGTCTGATTCTCATTTACCCGCCTTCTGAACTGATAAATTCTCCCACCTGTGCTTCTACAACTGACACAGTCATTCTTTGGGATGAAGGGATTTTGAAAGATCTGGATGATGTGAACTAATTAGACTATCGTGTCTGATTTAAATGATACAGATTGCAAACTGTTACCGGATATTGATTTATGGGTAATTCCAAGAATAATATGTTTTAAAATACCAGAATTCATTCTTTTTGTTTAGGAACCCCAAAGCTTGTTTAACTGTATGTTGTTCATGGAAGACAATATTCTCTTTCTTTGCTAAATATGTTTAGAAAAGCATCACTGAAATTTTGAAGTCGTCTTGTGTCTGTTAGGATAGTGTATTCAAAATTAGGTATCTTTGTCCAGTTCATTCTTTTATGGTAGCAATGAGTTTAATTGCCTTTCCAGTGTATTCATTCCCAGAATTTTCTCATTAGTTTCTTAAGGTTTTGTTGTAGTAATGTCATCTATGTCATCCATAACCATGTAATGGAAGAAATTTTCTATAATAAAAGTACCTACAAGTAGTTTCTGGCTCTGACACGTTCTCATGCATTTCAGGACAGCGGTAATGGGCACAAACTTGAATGTAGGAAGTTTGGTCTAAAAATGAGGAGGAACTTCTTTGCTTTGAGAGTGGCAGAGCACTGGAACAGGCTGCCCAAGGAGGTGGTGGAGTCTCTGTCTCTGGAGACATTCAAAACCCGCCTCGATGCCACCCTGTGCAATCTGCTCTAGGTTAACCTACTCTGGCAGGGAGGTTGGACTAGATATCTCCAGAGGTCCCTTCCAACCCCTAACGTTCTGTGATTTTGTGCTAACTCGAAAATACTTTTTACTTAGAAATAGAAGTGAAGAATAGTTGATTTGTGATGTCACCATTGCTTTTAACAGTTATATGTTTAGCACATAGAAACTTCTGAGATATCAATTAGGTAATTACAAAGACAAAAATCTACCTCCTAGTCTCTTTTTTTTGTTTGTTTTTGTTTTTAACTGACTCTTCACAAGTTGGTTATCCTATAAGAGTTATTCTGTCACACGAGACAAACAATTTTAGAAGAATAAAAATAGCAAATACATGCCAAGATGAGAGTACCAAGCTCCAAGTTAATATGTGCTGGTGTTTTAGGGTTTTATGCTGTGCTTTTTTGATTACATAATGCTGTTTGAACATTGATCCTCTCTCCCAGGTGAACCAGACTTTGCTATTAAGTTTGAAAGAGCGGGGAGGGACCCCTTCTGAGAAGTGAACACTGAGGATCAGGCTGAGCAGGAGGCAGTGGTTTCAAAATACAGTGTTGTGAGTTTTAGATGAATTGAAGCTTTGAGGCAGTAAACAAAAAATCTGTGGAATTGAAACTTGGGGTCTTTTAACTTTCAAATATTTGTGCCCGGTGGAGGGCAGAGTTTACAGCAATCTGATGACTGAACACCATCTCTTCTTTTGTTCCTTTCAGATTCATTACTTACAAATTTATTTTTATGTTGAATACTTGGAAGTGTTCTGCATTGTATTATGTCTTCACTCTCTTCCTTTTCTGTTTTGCATGCTTGCTTTTGTTACTTCTCGTGTATTTACCACTTTCACTTTGCTGCTTGGCTTTTTGCTACCAACTTGTCCTGCCAGCACCTGGACTTTTCCATGTCAGAGCTTCAGTTGCAGTTATGTTTAGACTGGGACCAGCATGATTGGCCCTTCACACCCTCTATAAAATCTGTGTCAGAGCGTTATCTGGTATGTCCAATACACAATATGTCTGTAATCGTAGTTCTGGATAAAGATGCATAATTAAATGTATGTATCATAGCTCTTTAGTGCGAGGCTGGTGGAGAAGATGTGGTTTTCCCTCTTTGCAAAGTTCGTATTATGTTTGACAAATCTGTCTATTCACTCACTTTTCGTTTGGTCATTATTTCAGTGTAAGCTAGAGAAGTTATCTATTAATCTGAAATACGTACTAATGCTGAGTATTCTGTCAGTCCCTGTACAGGACTTTTGCTTTACCACTTATTCACAGTTATCAGTGCCCCAACCAGTCTGTGGTCACCTGGCTTTCAAAACATTTGTCATATTGTTCTTGTCTCCGAGATGAAAACAATGGCAACTCCTTGATGGCAGTAACAGGAGCCAAAAGCTCTTTCAGGTAGCGAGTTCAGGGGATGATCTTGCTCAGAAATGAAGGTGGCTCACAGCAAAGAGCTGTTAGTAGCATTTTGTAGCTGCTTCCTGGAAGACTGGGAGCATGGGTAAGAAACAGGAGATCTGCAGGAACAGAGGGCACAGCGCAGATCTCAGATGTTGTCAAGCTCTTGGCAATGTTTTCACACAGTCCCCATGTAGACCAGTTTGCTGTTTGAATAGTCTTGGTCTAGGTAATTATTACAAACTTTCATTTTAGAGGAAAAAATAACAAGAAATTTTCCAATGGTGGAGGGAGTGATTGAATCTCTATGCATCTAAATATCCTTGGCAGTTTGTATTGTGTTTTATTGTTCGCTAGTGTGTGTTGTAATACTAGATAAATAACGTAAATGGGGATTTGACCTTCAGTGAAATAGTACCTTAAGTGTCTCAGCCCAGTATAATACTGGATATAAAAAGGGGCCTTTTCTGAAAGAGGATGTGATCTTTTCCTCCTCATTGCAAAGAGTTGGGTTATAAAGACAACTTTACCCTTTCCTCTTGGCAAAGTAGTCTCACTTGCATTTGTATCTCTGTTTGTCAATTTTCTACCCCAATACAGAAGTATATCCAAGAGGCCAGGAATCTAGGCAGTACTATTCGACAGCCCAAATTGTCTAACCTCTCGCCATCGGTAATTGCACAAACAAACTGGAAATTTGTAGAAGGCTTGTTGAAAGAATGCCGAAATAAGGTAACACAGAATAATTCTGTTCTCTTGCATCTCATATCCGTCCTTTATGGACCATTTTGTGACCAATATGTTTGAACTCTGCTCTTACACTATCTATTTCTGCTTTATCCCTGTAAAGGTTTTTGCATAGTGTCTTGTATAAAGGTTTTTTTGCATGGTATGAGGAATTCATGAAGAGATAACATATTTAGAAATTCTGCAAGGAGTGGAAACTTTATCAAGCTAGAGATTTCTGCTAGAGAATGTGAAATGATAGAGATTGAATATTCTGATGGGTCTTTATCATCCTGCTGCCCATATCTATTATAGCATGTTTCAGTTATCACTAATGGGATATACTATTCCACCAAGAGTGAATATTCTAAAAGAGGAGGTTGTAGTGAAAATACAGGAGCTTTTCTCATAACTTAAGCAAGTGGCTTAACAAAATTCTGATGTGTAAGTTTTCAAGTACTTAACAAAAAATTTGGCCTTAGTTTGTAGATATGCTTCACCAGTATATATTTGACAATATATTCATCTGAATTAAATGTTACTGCTTATACTAACACAGTAAAGAGAATAGTTATCAAATAGACACATTCTTCCCTTAAGTCAGTGGAGGTGATACTGCAATTTTGTACAACTTTGTAAATTTGTGTTTAGTATGTGCATCTACTTCTGATTTGACTTGAGTTTTCTGTATGTATGAAATGTCTGCATAATTCCCCTCATGTAATAGAGGGATACGATGGTGAAAATCCTTGAAGATAGGCTTGACTCTTTCACTGTGGGAATGCGCGTCTAGAGAATGTAGTGAGCCTGCTGTTAGCAGAGAGAGAAGTTAACCAGGGAAGGTGAGGAGAAGGTTCATGCCAACTTGGAGTTCTTCATCTCAGCTAAGACTGTGCATAGGAGTATTACTTAATGGAGAGGTACTCTAAAATAGCAACAAGGATGAAAAAATATGTAAGAAATGAGCAGAAGTGGTTCCCTAGTCATTTTTACGTCCCTGGTTGCTGTATGATTAATATATTGTGACTGGGAGCCTGTACTTCGAGAGTTAATGAGAGTTTTGTTGACCAGTATGAAATTGGGCACGATTTGGGAGAGTGCGACTCACTGGGGAAGCTCAAGAGTTGCACTCCAGATGGGTTTGGTTTAAATGCAAACACGCTTCTGGCTGAACAGGGTCTCTCAGAAGTGATGTCTATTTCTGCAGTGTGGAAGACCTCATGCAGGTTCACCTCCCCTGGGAGAATGTGAACGTAGCTCCCAGTCAGCGCTCACCAGCCTTCAGAAACACCCAGGACTGGTGTCGCAGGGCCTTGCTCCACAGCCTCTGGCTTGTCAGTGTGTGGCCTGCTGTTCACTGTGGAGGATTATGTGCCTGTTGGCAGGCTCCTGTTAGAAAGATCGAAGAGGCTGTAAAGTGATCAATACTGGTGCTGCCGTGGCTTGGAAAACCAGGGGCAAAGCAGCTTGCACTGGCTTCAGAAACAGTGCATGCACCCAGTTATTCTGCCAGATCTGCTATCGTGTGCTTCCTTGTTAGTTCTTGAAAAAGCATAAGTGATTCTGGAAGTTCCTGTGGAATGAATTAACTCTCTTTTGCCTTTTCCTTTCTGAGACCAAGAGGATGTTGGTTGAAAAAATGGGTCGAGAAGCTGTGGAGCTAGGTCATGGTGAAGTGAATATCACAGGTGTAGAAGAGAATACCCTGATAGCCAGTCTGTGTGACCTCTTAGAAAGGATATGGAGCCACGGTCTGCAAGTCAAACAGGTGAGGAATGAATATTCCTGTATGCTGCGGAGCGCACTTTCCTAAAGTCATGTTATGCTCTTCCTCTGTGTGCTTTGAGAGGTTGTCTTTTGTGTGTGTAGATGTGTTAAAATACTTGTTTGTGTGTCCTCAGTCTTTTTTTGTGGCAGTTACTGCCCCCCATCTTTCTCTAGGTTTTGTTCTGGGATATATACAAGTGCACACATAGACATGCTCCACAGATGACTTTTTGGAAGACTTTCTTGCCATTTAACCTGATGTGTTTGGTTTGGTTTGTGGGTTTTGGTGTTTTTTTTTTAAAGGATAGTAAATAAGGATATTTCTGTGTTCTTAATTCTTTTGTTAATGAAGTTGTCTAGGCTATAAGGCAGTGTATGCTAAAGGTTCTGTCAATGGGATATGGTTGGGGAATTTGTTTTCATAAAGAATAATTTAGTTTTTAAGAGTAAACCGCTTGTTAGTTTTGTGCTTCCTGAATGGTCTAGGGATAGTTAAGTGATGTTTACAAGATCACTATTTAGAGGTGGTGTTTTTTGTATGGAGTTAATGATTATTTGCACTGCTTTTCTGTTTGGAGTCAATTGTGGGACTAAGGTGGAGTTTGGAAGGCCTTTATCCTTTACTCCTCCTCTGTACAAGGGAATAGCACAGACAGTGAGGACTATGACTTTTTTTTTGTTTTTAAAAGAATATTTGGATTAAATGTACGTAATCCAGACAACTGTAATTCAGTATCTCTGTTCCCAGCTTCCAAGCACCAGTGTTCTCCTTCAAACTACATGCAATTCTTTATGTGAAGATTTATCATGTGATTCTCTCCCTTCCCTCTTGTATATCACTTAGGATAGAAGCTGTTCTGCTTTCATCTTAGAAGACAGAGCATCAGTATACTCTGCTCCAACTCAGATTTGGGCCTTTCAGACCACCAGACGGCCAACCGTACATAAGGTCAATGCTTTGGATTGATTGCAGATGTTGGCAAACAGAGCTGAATGGTGGAATAAATAGAGTGGTGGAGTATAATAGAGGCCTGATGGAGGAAGTGCAGTGCATCTCATATTGTGATCCATAGTCTAAAAAAAACCAACCACACAACAACAAAAAAAGAAACCCACACCATCAGTTCTCTGTGTGCTCTGGCCTTTATTAAATATGCAACAGCCTGCTGTTTTATACCTTGATTTTTTTAATTTTTTTCAGTAATGAGCCAAGGAAGACTCTTCTTTCTCAGTTGGCCATCGTAATAAGGATGACTTTCCTTCCACCAGTCCTTGCTTTTACCTCTTCCCTGCTGACTTGAGCCCTGGTAGTCCTGCTTAGCTGCCTACTGATTCTTCCACTTGTAAAGTGAATCCACACCTTCCTTTGCCCAGAGCGATGCAGGAGAGCTGTCAGATACAGGGTCTAATGACTGAAGCAGTCTGAGCAGACCTTGCCCATTCTTTGTCCTACTGCTTCCCATAGGCTGTCTTCCCTTCCCTTATAGATACAACTTGCATCATCCTCGCTGTTCGGTGAACTTAAAGGAGAGTAACGTGATGGTGAAGGAAGTGGGCAGATATATACTGCATGAATTCTCCCATTCATCGTGATTATGACGTCTCTTTGCTGCAGGATCCTTTGGTTGCTGCTTTACGTGATCTGTTGCAGTTCTCCTTGCCATGGCAGCCAGTTGCTGAGCACTAGAGTGTGCGTGCATGTGTGTGTTTATTGAGAGAAATGGCATTTTGGATGTAACTGTTCTCTGGTTGATATTTTTCATGCTTTCTTTTTATTTTTTTGTGAGACTTGCAGTTACGGCTTTCTGTGTTGGCTCTGTCAGGTACACATATGAGGTGTTGATTGGATTTTTTACATCTTCACCATTGAAAGTGTATTTTTAATAGATTTCTTTGAACGTAGATGTTACAGACTCTCTAGGCTTTATCTAGGCACAAAGTTGTAATTAAAAAAGTTGTAAATAAAAATACGGCTTTGTAACATGACTACTTTTCTCAAGTGCAGAATTGCTAAATCTTTACTGGGATTTCAAGTTAATATAATAATTTAGGAAGATCATAAGTAATGCTGATTAATTTTCTGTGTGAATAATTTCAGTTCATGTTCTGGAGAGCCCCTGTTCAATTACTGCAGCCTTTCTGTGGCTTTGTAAGCTTTTGGTTTATCAGGCAGAGAATTTTAGGATGAATCCAAGAATCTTTAGTTTGCCAGCAAAAGATTTCCTCACGCTCTTCTTTAAGCTACCGGAGGTTTAAGAAAGCAGCATAATGAGCAAGGTCCACCTTTTAACATCATTTGATGGATTTATCTTTGCCTAAATACTATAACCCAAATTTTAACCTGTATGTTGGTTTTATCATGTGTAGAGCTGGAGTTTTCTTGCTTTCACTGTCCTGCTTATATTTTGGGTTCTTACTGTGTTTGTGATTAGTTAAGTTGTTTGGCTGATGATACTGAGGGGAATCTTCTGAGGTTCTAAAACGTGACAGCGTGCATCTGTAGCCCGGAATTATTCTGAAGTGAACAGAAGCACAAGGCTTGATCTGGGCTATAAGGTGGTTTGCTCAGGCTGGCTCTGTATCTTTTGTCATTTCACTGCTGCAGAAACAGGGAGGGAGAAACACATAGTCCCGCCTCAGACTTAGAAAAGATAAAGTTGCTGTATTTAAATGTTCTCTTGTCCTGTTGATGAACTATGAGGAATGAAGTTCAACTGACTTTTTCCTGTTACCAGAATCATTAGATCCCGGTAGTTTGACTCTTGCTTTTCTTTCTCAACCTCTTTACAGCTCCAACCTGTGTCTCATTGCTGGTTTTTACCAATGACTTTATAGGGAGAAACATATTTAAAGCAAGTTTTTATTATGTCTGATACTTTCAATGACAATTTAAACTTTCTTTTTAAATTCAGCTGATAGTGATTATTTTAACTACTTTTTTTTTAATTTTAGGGAAAGTCTGCTTTGTGGTCTCATCTATTACACTACCTAGAAAACAGACAAAGAAAAACTACATCAGGCAGCTTCAGTACCTCGGGTAAGATTAACTTCTGCTGAAAGATGGTGATAAAAAACTATGACTATTAATGCTACCTGCAGATTTCCACCATGCAGAGATTGTTTCCTTGGGAATATCCTGAATGTAACTGAGCCAAATATTCTATCTGCTACAAAATCGATATGGATCTGGTGTATTGTTTCAATGTATTTTGTGAAAAATAAAGTTGTTTGGATTGAACCTACTTGTCTGGGCCTGGCATCTAACTACTACTGAAGTCAGATACCAGAAATACCTGATGCTTCACGGACAGGCTTTAAAATAGATTTCTCTGATATAGAACACAGAATCACTACATGACTGGCAAAGCGTATTGTGTTGTGGCTGGGGATGAAAAACTAGCATATGCATATAAAATTGTACTGTACATCCTGAAGTTTTTACATTCTGTCTTGAAAACTAACTGAAGAGTAGGCTTATTGTTAAAAAAATATTTAAAAAATACAAAAAACACCCCAAAAGTGTTTTAATTTTTATTTTATCAAGTGTTGAAGTAAAAGTAATACTGCACACAAGATCCAATGGTGATCTTTTTCTCAGGTAATTAATGTAATTTTTGAACACTACTTCTTATGTCCAGTGGGGGCAGAGAGTATAACTTTGGGGAGAACATTGAGTTTGGGAGAGGTGGTAGGTGCCTTTTTCTGTTGTTTTTTTTTTAAAGTTGCTGTAAGCAAAGAGCTGAGCATTACTAACATGCCCATATTCTGTAAGCAATCAAAACCAGAAATTTGGGAAGTATTAAGGGCCTTCTGAATGCCACTTGGTGGTTTTGCATGTCAGGCTGGAGTTACAGTCATGTATTTGCATTCTACCTTGGGAGTGTATTTAATATACAACCTGATTTTAGAGTTGAATTTCAAAGATGAGAGTAATAAAATTGCTTAAACCCCACAAAATGTGCTATTTTAAAAAGTAGTGGTGTTGCAAGAATATGCAAAGTGATAGATTAGTTAAGCATATAATGTGTGGTCTACTGAGTAAAAGATTTTGAACACTGTTTTCTGTTGTCAACTGTACCAGTCAGTTTTACTATGTAGAAAGAAAACAGGATAGTCTTTAGAAAATAATACTTGATTAGTATATGTTTTAAGCCATTTGATGTCATACCAATTTCAGCTGAATCTGAGCTCATTAACGTGTTAATGCTCACTGTGTGCTGATCTGCATAACTATCTGTGTAGCGAATTACATTTTCATGTCATTTGAAGTGGAAATATGCCACAATATCTTCACAAAGCAGTGAGTCACCAGTAATGTAACAGTGCAAGTTGGTGATAATTCACCTGATTTTGTAATATTGTTTTCAAAATCTTTGGATGCATTTCAACTAACAAGAAATTCTGTTCTTCTGAATCTAGGAATACTTCTTGATTCAGAAAGGAGAAAGTCTGATACCAGTCCAGCCATGTCACCTCTTAGAATATCTCTCATTCAGGATATGAGGTGAGTTTAACTATTAAAACCAACGTGAAAAACCTGTGGGATTTGCATACTTATTTCTGTGTCTAATGTGTACCGTATAGAAAAGCCTGTGTTTCATACAGTAGGATGGGACTGTGGGGTAGGAACCTGATGGACTGTTTTAAAGTATATAGTGTGACCTTCTCATTGACCTTTGCAAAAAAAATGTTTCATACTGAAGAAATTTTAAGTTGCTATAGCTACTGGTTTTAGAAATACATTTTTCATCTTTTTAAAGTATTCTACATTGTATTATTTCCACAGAGATGTGGATGTAGCATATGTGTTTTCGCAGTCATTGCCAATTTGATTGCGTAGTTCTGAGCTCATTCTTGCTTCTCAGTGAAGAAAACAGTTTAAAGAACTTGTTTGATCTAAAGAGTTGGTTTATCTAACATTGAGTACTGTAGTGTGAATAAAACTAACTTCTGCACAATGCCTTCTTTTCAGTACATCAAAAATCAGTATGCGGTACTTCCAGTTAATTTTGAAAGGATTTCTCTTGCCTCCTTTTCTTCAACCAAGATCTAATTTTTTCAGTAGGGAGGAGTGAATTGAGGATTTTTCAAGGGAAATGCTTGTCCTTTTAAAATACACTCTCTGTGTCTTGTATGCAAGAAAAGCTACTACTAAGCATGCAAAGACAGTATTTAATTTTCCAAAGCAGTCGGCCATAAATATTGCAGTGATAAAGTCTAGAATGATTCTTAAATCATGTGTGGCAATGGACCTGGTTTAGAATTTTGTAAATAGGGCACTGCATTGCAGATATTTCCTTTTCAGGCGCTTATTCTTTTTGAGCTAGATATGCAAGGAATTTAGATAGCGCTGAATATTAAGGTGATCGTGTCTTCTTTTCTATTAGTTTACCAGATATTTTGCATTCTTGGTAAAACTTCTTTTTCAGCCTAGCTTGGTTCAAAAGAACTGTCACACTTTGAATATACTGGGCAGGGTATTTTTATATTTTTTTTTTTCCAGGCATATCCAGAACATTAGTGAGATCAAAACAGATGTTGGCAAGGCCAGAGCCTGGGTTCGTCTCTCTATGGAAAAGAAGTTGCTCTCTAGGCATCTAAAACAGCTGCTTTCAGATCATGAACTCACAAAGTAAGATGCTTTATCATGTAATAGAACAACCTAGCCTTCCACATGTGTCTCTGTACCTGTGTATGAGCTATTTGAGAAGTATAAGTCAATGCTCAATTCTTCAGATACGGAATCAGTTCTGTCAACATAGACTGTCTGTGCCTTTGAGGTGAAATCTGCAAAAATTGCTAGGGATTAAATGAAATGAGATGTAACTCCAAATGTTGCTACTTTGCTGAGTCAAGTTTATAATCTTGGCCCTGTTTCTGTAACTGTGGGATATTTTGTTTTCCTTGGATAGTTTGTGTGTTTCATCAATGCATGGCAAAGTGCAGTTTAGATCCTGGTTGTAGGTCCATCGCGATAACCTCATACAAGTGTTTAGCCCCCATGTTTGCCCTGATGTCCTTTGAAAACAGGCTTCAAGCTGTTACGTGCTGGATGCCACTCCTACAGCACCATCTGCTCAGAAGTAACCTATGACTCCGTTTTCTTCAGTTCTGTCATTTTACCTGGCTAAAAGAAGTCAAAGGATTTTCCCAAGAGAGTACAAAACTCATTTTTTCATCTTTTGGGATGTTTTTGGGTGAGACAAGACCCTTAAACTGCCTTGCTTTGGAGGAGTGGAAAGTAGTATGAAGTATTGGACTGGTGCCCGAGGGAGACTTCACTATTGCAGAGTGTTGATGTATCTTGGCACGTTAAATACTGTTGGATCTACTAGTGTCACTTGTCAATTGTAAGCACTTGCACATTCTTCATAATCTACCTGATAAACATGCACAATAGAAAACGTTTCACTGAAAGCATCTTGTTACTATGACAGATTATTTGTTTTGCTTTGTCAGAAAACTCTACAAGCGTTATGCATTCCTCCGCTGTGATGATGAGAAAGAACAATTCTTATATCATCTCCTGTCATTCAATGCTGTTGATTACTTTTGCTTTACCAATGTTTTCACAACAATCTGTAAGTATTTGCTTTCCTGGCAACTCTCATTTCCAGATTTGGTTGAGTTCTTATCCAAAATTCAAAACGGCTCTGAGAAACATGCCTTAATGTGAATGATCTGCTTTCTTCCTGGTATCCATCTGTGTGTGCTGTATTGCTCTTTCTATGATCCTTTCTGGTGGGCACTAGTCACTAAAGGCTTTTGTTTCTTACTTGGTAAAATATGCAGCTTTAATCCTTTTAGTTGGAGGAGAGTTCTCAACAGAAAATTTTGCGGTGGGCTTGTTTGCATCGCACTAAACAAGCACAGTATGGATTGTTCATTTTCAAGGTAAGATGCTAACATGTGCTAGGAATTCAAAAGAAAAGAAAAAACTTTCCACTTGCTTGGCCTTACTTTGCTGCATGCCTGTCTCTGAGTTTGGGATAACAATGAAATGCTCATTGAGGACTGTGTCAGAATTCTGCAGCATATTGAAGCAGTTTATTTTCTTTCTCTTTTTTAAAAAAAAAACACTCTAGAGAAACTTTTAACCTGTTGTTGCTCATGCTTAAATGTGTTACAGAACTCTCACACATTTGTGTGCCCGCTGCCACAGGACCTCGCTAAGAAGGCAGAATAAGGAAAGACTTTAGAAAGGCATATAAAACAGAGGGTGAGGAGGCATGAGAGGACCCCTCTGGTCCCATGGTAGGAGCTACCCTTGGTAGTACATTATGATCCATATTGTGCATATGAAAGACAAAGCAAGCAGATATCTAAGCAAAATAGGCTTTGGTTTTGTGAGCACATTCTGAACAGTGCTTAATCTTGTCTGCTGGATTCAGTTAAATTGTCACTTGAAGACTGTCAGCACAGAAAATAAAAAGGGAAACATGTTAATTCGTTCTCAAATGCTATGAACATCAAGCTTTTAAGAAAATCCAATCACCAAAGGTTTTCTTGAGGGCACTGACTGCTGAGGAGACATTGAGGGAGAAATGTATTAAATGGCTCAGCTGAAAAGCCCCAGCTGTATTCCATTTATGCACTGTAAAAGAAGGGCAGATTGCCAAGAAACACAGGGGCCGTTCAGATAACTGGATTTTGTTATAGAAGTTTGGTTAATAGAGGGCTGTACGTGAGATAGGTAGGTAACTGAAGAGCACACGCAGTTTCTCAGCAGCACATGCCTTCTGAGTCAGAGACAGGTCTGTAACTCGGATGATAATATGTTGAATTAGTCACTGGTAAACCAGAGGACCAGAAAACATTTGAACATGTGTGTAGTGGTAGTTAGAGGGGAAAAAGGTTTTTTGTCCTTTTTGAAATCAAGAAGTCTTACAGTTAACATAACTAAGAGCAATATGGTACAGAGAAATTTGCAGTGTTACAGTGTATTTTAATTTTTAATTGATTTGTTCAGCCACAGCTGTGAACGCTGCTGCAAGCAAAGGAAGGCTTCAGTTAGTGATTGACTGGGATTTGTGTTGGGTGTGTAGTGTGCACACGGGCACACACAAAAGCAGGCAGTTAGGAGCTGAGCTTTGATTTGCAAGCTGAGCTGCAATGCCGTCCTGGATACATGAATATCCTGTCTCTACTTCCTTGTTTCTAAGCTGGAGACAAGTAAGCATCTTCATGACGTGTTTTGAGACTGGTAAATGCAAAACTGTTATACTCAAGTGAAGGCATTACTTCATCCGTATTTCTTTTTTTCACTTGACAGTGTTTTGCTACCAGCTCTGCTTCTTAGTGACTGCTGTGTGTACATTTCCTGATTGTCAGTTGGTGCTTGGTGTGCAGGTGTTAGCAGCTCTGATGTTTTAACATTTCATGGTACTGCAGTATTATTTTATGATTTATCTTTTCTGCCATCTTTGTTAAAGAGTTACATAAATATTATTCTTCATTTGTGAAGTGTTATTTCTTCATGTGTTTGCAGTGATACCGTACCATATATTGATTGTTCCTAGCAAGAAACTTGGTGGTTCAATGTTTACAGCCAATCCTTGGATCTGTATCTCGGGAGAGCTGGGTGAAACAGGAGTCCTGCAGATTCCCAGGAATATATTAGAAATGACTTTTGAGGTTTGTATTGCTTGATACGAAAAATGCTTTGGATGTTCCCATTTGTTCAATTTTAAATTCTCCCCTTTCTGTACCATCTTGTCATACATTTCATATCTTTAGTCTGTGTGGTTAGTCGCAAATACTTCCTGTGTCTGTACATGGGAAAGTTAATCTATATTTAATAAAAGACAGAGCAAAATGACTGATGAAGCCTTAGTGCAAGGATGTACCAGACTGTCTTTATACTACAACTTTGTGCAGTAATGCTGAGAGATGTCCTATCCTCTTCTATTGGAAATGAAGTGATTCTTCTCTGATTTTTGTGTGTATGCGTGCATTGGATAAAATGTAATTGAAAACTTTAGTTCAACTGATGTTCTCTCTAGTGATTAAAATAATATTTAACTAGACAAAGCAACCTACCCCTAAAAAGCCCCAAATCAATCATGCAGTCAGAGCAGGGGAAGCACACTTCTGATTCTCTGTTGAGTATATTCTCTAAGAGTTTACTCCTCCAACATGTTGCTCTCTTTCGATTTACTCTGACAAGCTCTTTGTTTAATTTGCAGTGCCAGAACCTGGGAAAACTGACCACAGTGCAAATAGGACATGATAATTCGGGGCTGTATGCCAAGTGGCTAGTGGAATATGTTATGGTCAGAAATGAAATAACAGGGCATACTTACAAGTAAGTATCATCCTGACATTTCACATTGGGTAAGTAGAATTTCCACAGGGAGCTGGCACAGTAGGACTTGTTTGATTAGAAAGGTCTTATCTCCTGGTACTCTGTGTCTACAGTTGCTGCTACCCGAAGGTGCAGAAAAATCTAGCATTAAACAAGTCATGATTCTTATGAAATGAAACAGTTTTCAGTTTGCAGATGCTCATGTCTAGCCTCAAAATACTGGTGGAGAAGATGAGTTGTCTGTTGCTCATTTTAAACATAACCTGCCTTGACCCTAAGGAAGAAGTAGCAAGTTAGAGCTTTCTGCTTACCAAGTCTGGGTGGTATTTTATTTTAAGGCTGAGTGCTCTAGGTGCACACAAGCTGGAACACAAGGGCTTGTGAGTGATAGAAACGTGTGTTTGCACAGTGAAATTAAAGGCACAAAATCTATAGTAAGGATTAAATTTATGTTAGTTACAGCATAGTTTGGTGCCTGTTCTTTGTTTTTAGAGAGACTGTCAGGCTCATGTTGGTGACAAATTGGTGGGTAAGTCCACTCAGATCTCTGTGCCAGCTTGTTTGTAATTAAATGGAGAGGCAAGATTCTATTTTTGGATGCTGTTCAGTTTTCTGATTAAGCTGATTAAAACTGACATCAACATTGGTTCATGGAAAGGGATAATGAGCAAGTGAGCCTGTGTACTTTCTAGTGTTTGATTTAATATTCCAATTTCAATAGGTGTGTATGTTTTGGCATTTAAGTATACATTTTAGGTTTGGGGTTTTTTGTGGCTGGCCAGCTATATAACGTACTCAGTGAAAGCATGGGTGTATTTCACCACTCACCTGTAGTGTGTTGTGGGTCTTCACCTTTACCCGTTTTTCCTCTGCACCCCTTAAATCACGTGGTACAGAAAGGACACAATCTGTCACTGTTTGCTTTGTGGATGGTCTAAAGCAAATTTAGTGCAAACTTGAAACTGAAAAGCTGTTTTACTTTTGCTCCCTCTGCTGGCAAAAGCCAAACCCAAGACTTTGTTATTTGTTGCTATATGCATGAGGTATTTCTAAGAACTAGGCTGGCAGAATTTGGGTTTTATGCAACTGCAGTTGAAAGTCTTTGGCACAGACTTGATCCACATATGTCCTTTATGTCCTTAGATTTCCCTGTGGAAGGTGGCTTGGAAAGGGAATGGATGATGGCAGCTTAGAGAGGATCCTGGTGGGAGAGTTGCTGACTTCCCACACTGAGGCTGATGAACGACAGTGCCGAACTCCTCCTTTGCAGCAGTCACCGAGCATGATCAGAAGATTTGTCACTATATCGCCAAACAATAAGCCCAGTGAGTGGTGGGGATTATCTTGTCTTGTCCCGTTGTGCATCGTTGCCTGAGGAGAGCTGCTTACAACAGAACTGCAGGTTTTCTTGTAGTTTAAAACTGTAGCTCGGAGAGGACCTGTGACTCACTTAGCCCAATGCCCCAGTAGAAGTCCAGCTGATTTCCGAATTACAGTCCTGAGGAACTAGTTCTATTTGCTCAAGTTTTGAAAGCCTCCAAGGACAGAAGGAGAATATATCTCGACTCCAAGTCCAGTGCGTAGCTGTCCTAGTGGTGTTTTCCATATTCTTGTCCTTCATCTGTGGAATGAGTGCTATCGAGGAAGGTAGAAAGTTTAATGGATGAAAAGCTTGCTGGTAGTTTCTATTCATGGACTTTAGTTTTCTGTTGAGGTCACCTTTATGAACCTGTCTTGTTCCTGATGAACCAGTTGGTTACTTTTCTTCCAAGCATGCTTGGGTTTACAGTCAAACTATCACAGGATGTATTTCCAGGATGCTTAGATTTGATGGTCCTGATCAAGGCACAGCTGCTTTTCTTGGCTTTGGGCCCTGGTTGGAATATTAACATAACATGTAAAAATCCTTCCACCTGTTTTTGTATTGAAACACCACAGTGTTAACTTTGATATAAAACCAAACCATCTTTATTTCTACCTCCTCCACAGCTGGATTTCTGTTACCCACACAGTCCAGCACCTTTTCACTAACAGCATAACTTACATTCGTTCATGCTCCTCCTCATGCACCAGTACGATTCTAAAGCTGTTACAGAGTGACTGGATGTATCTTTCTATTTTGCAGAGTTAAATACTGGTCAGATACAAGAAGCTATTGGTGAAGCTGTCAATGGTATTGTCAAGCATTTCCACAAGCCAGAGAAGGAGGTAAAGAGTTATTGTCTGTGTAGTGACACTCCTGTCTTAAAACGCTTTTTAGTAAGCATTGGAAAATATATAACAGAAATAAAACTAAACTGAATAACAGCCATCTGCTTGAAAATTCCTTAAGTGGGGCAAAAATGAGATACTGAGACTATACTGTTGGAATAGTACATCCTGAAGTACCTTAGTTTTCTGCTAACTGGAGCGTTCTGTTAGCTTAAATGTTAACATTTTGATACTGGAAATTATATATACATAAAATTATTTTAACTGACATAACAGTTGTTTCCTGAAACAAACTTAAGCATGCCCCTGTCCAAGCATCGTAATACAGTGCTGGTGAGTTTAATTGCATTAAATGTGTTTTATGGGTTTTTTTGTTGATTAGCAAACAGTCTGAGGCACCTGCTACAATAGACCTGTGATGTTTATTACTTAGTAGGAGGAAAATACTTTCTTAATTCTCTGTACAGTGGTCGTTATTATAGGTAAAACCTGCTCATGATCATCATCTTGGCCTTTTTTGGCTTCATTTCATGACCATGAAGCTCTGAGATTGCTTTCTTCAGCCTCATTCTTAGAGAGGTCAGGTTCTGTCTGGGGCCAGTGTTTGACAGTAGGCTGTAACTTTGGGCATCTGTTTGTTTAAAACTGATTTCAGTAATAGATGCACGAGACACTTTTTTGTCTCAGACTTCCAACCAAGATAATAAGCGTGTGTGCCTTCTGTGTGTGTTTGGCAGAGAGGCAGTCTGACACTGTTGCTATGTGGAGAAAGTGGACTTGTTTCAGCTCTTGAGCAAGTGTTTCAGCATGGATTTAAATCACCAAGACTCTTCAAAAATGTCTTTATTTGGGACTTTTTAGGTAAGTGGGAGGAAGGTACACCAGAGCCTGTTTGTGTCTTCAAAATATATCCACCTGTGTTCCTTACCTTTGCCACTGTGTCTCAGCTGGTGTGAACAGCTTACTCCCTGGAGGCATCTCAGCAGCTGAATTGCCATAAGTGTTCTTACCTCCTCATACTGCTGAGAAGAAGCACATCTGTCTTCTGCTAAAGCTGACACTATACTTAATACAGTAACTGGACTTTGCCCTTCTGACAGTAATAGTATAAAACAAACTTTCTTAATGAGGAATAATTATTTAAATAAGATGGCGAGTTGATATATGGTAACCTTGTTCTGAATTGAGCATAGCGAAAGGGTAAATCGCACTTTTAAGAGGCTCAGTTGCCTTATAAAGCACAACAGATGTATCTAGTGCTGTTGGTGCTTACTGGACATTGAAATAAAGGGGATGTAAGCATACATTTTTCACATGGTGGTCTAGATTCTTTGACCTAGAAAAAATAAACTGAGTACACAACAACTTTTTAGAAAAGGAATTGTTTAAATAGTATTTCTGTGTTTTGAGTAGGTACTTCGTCATCGCTCGTATCATCATTTTACTGTAGCATCTCAAAATTCAGTAGGTATGAGAACCTCTTTAGCACTGTTCGGCAGGAAGGAAGTGGAATTGCTGTTTTACACAGCAGGAGCACAAGACGGAATCAAACAGAAAAAAACGATGCTAAACGTAGTCATTCAGGAAATTCATGGATGTGCTTCGAATCCAGGCCTTTCATCTTTAGTAGTCCCATCCAAGACACAGACACTCATGGTGATTTGCCAGTGGTGCTAGATGAACATCAGACAGCCTTATGAATTTATAAGTGTGCTTACAGGGAAAGCATTATACGGAGGTTGTATTACATTTAGTCATCTAAGTCTGAAGGTCAGTTACTTAGTCCAAGCACAGGAGAATGGTATTTCAGATATTTTAGGACTTTTCTGTATGCACTGATGAAACTTGATTATCTTCCACCATTCTTTTAAGAAAAAGCACAAACATACTATGAGACCCTTGAACAGAATGACATGGTCCCTGAAGAGAACTGGCAGACAAGGGCCAGGAATTTCTGCCGTTTTATCACTGCCATCAATAACACCCCTAGAAACATTGGGAAGGATGGCAAGTTTCAGATGCTGGTGTGTCTTGGAGCCAGGTATGATGAATTATTATTATCTATTATTATTATTACTATTATTATATATTATAATATTTTTATTATTATTTATTATCTGTTACTATTAATAATATTACTAATAAAGATACTTAAATAAAATTAAAGTAAAGTTGCATATCAGTAAGGCAAAGCCACACAGCTACTATGTTACTCGTACAGTTCTATACTAAAGAAGGATCGGGTGAACCATGTCCTGACTAAGTTTTTGGGCATGTAATGTGTGGGAAATTTGAGATGCAGAACTGAGTATCTCCAAGAGCTGAGCAGCTGAATCAAGAGAGAAAGGTAGTAGGCAGGTGTGAATAGCCTCCCTCTCATGTACTGATAGCAGGATTGGAAGATAAAAACAGAAAACCATCAGCAGGGGCTCATTGTAGGAGATTGGTAGGAGGGAAGCTGGAACCATCGAGAAGCCTTGTGACAGAAATGCAATGGAACCAGGTTTTTGTGACTTTGAGTCTACTTGGGATTCCAGGCCTCCTGGGAACCACATCTTTTGATGTGAGGGGTGGAAAGCCTACAAATGCCTCTCATGGATGCTTCTGACTTAAACGAGTTCCACAGACAGTTATTCCCCCTTCCCTGTCTTATAAAACTATGTGAAAAAGGTGGTAGGTCTGTTTAGAAGTCAAAGAATAAAAATCTTGTCAGTGAAAATAAGAAATTAACTTGGCTTTATTTTTATTTCCACATTGCAAATTGCTACTTTGTCAGAGACCACCTTTTGCATCACTGGATCGCCCTGCTTGCAGACTGCCCGATTACAGCACAGATGTATGAAGACATAGCACTGATTAAGGATCATACTCTTGTGAATTCTTTGATTCGAGTGCTGCAAACCTTGCAGGAGTTCAACATTACGCTGGAGGCATCTCTTGTTAAAGGAATCGATATTTGACCTCTTGTCCCACAGGAAAAACTGTCTATAAAAAAAACCAACCAAGCAACAAGGAGTGGATCTTGTTAGTTTGCAAGAGTTCTGTCTGCCAGCACACTGTATCGTGAACTCGTTCATGGCCCTAACATGCGACTTTGACTGTTCTTGAAGGAAACTCCAAAAATAGTACAGGCAAATGGATAGAAGCTGTAAACTCAATGTAAAAAAGAGGATTTTGGTATAAATCTATTTTAGAGTTTATTTGCTGATTTGCTTTTTACACACTTTCATGTGAAAGAGATAGAGATGAGTATTGTGCAGCTTATTTTAAAGCTGCAGTATTTCCTTGCCATAGAAAATGTGCGGTGAGCCTTTCAGCATTCTGTGAACTTGCCTTCAGATATGCTGTATGTCATAGACCCCAATGTATACACTCCATTTCAGCTGAGAAGGTCATTCTATAGTTTTTAAACTAATATTTTATATATTAACATTATTACCAATGTTTGATTTTTAACGTACTGGGTCATGTTTTGCTGCAAGGGAACTACAAATCTGATGTGTGCTTTTTTTAATAGCTCCAAAGCACTGATGTGTCAACAAATCAATTTTTTCCTTTATTTTTGTTGTCAGTATTATTTTTAGTGAAATCCAGGAGATGGAACCGTGAAATGTGCAGAGATCAAAGTAATATTTTTCATATTGGTACGTAATTGCACAGAAGAAATTAAGTGTGTTTTTTAACTGGTATTTTTATTTATTTAACCTATTGTTGTGTTTTGTAAGTTTGTCTTTAAAAAAAAAATCTTCTGTCATACAGCTGGCTATATTATGTTGCAATTCAGAATTTACAGTGCAGCCCACTTAAATGAAAAACCTGGAATAACACAGAAATGTTTCCCCTTAAACCAGCCGTTTGCAGTTTGTTATATGGTTGCTGCTGGTAATTTTCTTAACTGCTAATAAAGAGGGACACAAGTTCCCTGAGTGCCAGATGACTAAATAAAGATGTTTATGTCCCTATGAAGAAATAATGGCATACCTTACTAACAAATATAAAGACTTCTTAATTTTTCTGAAAAGACAGTGAGTAGTAAGGTTTACTTCTTTTCCTTTTGAATTAATATGTCTTGGGTCCTGTTGTCACAGTCTACTTGGAGATGCTTTTGTTTTTAACAGAGAAAGCTTTAATCCACTTTTACAACAAAACACAAACGTTTTGAAAGTTTAATATATTGGATATCTGAAACTTGGCAAATGCTCAAAAGCATCTCTGTTAATTTGAATCCTCTGATAAATATCTATTTGAAATTAATATGTGATTTATGAACAGATTGATTTATCAACATCACAAATTACTGTGCAGAAATTCAGGGCTATGTATTTAAGAGGTCTCCACTGTATAAACTTATCTCAATATTGTCTCTCTTTTGAGAAGCAGAGTCCAAGCTTTTCAGCTCATACAATGTTGTAGCACCTTTTCTTTACCTACAGCTTAGTCACATCTTATGGTAGTTTTATTTCCATAATTTATAAGTGTAGCACATGTATTAAATTTTTGACTATTTTTACTTTTGTCCTATTTATTTCATTATTAAACTGAGAAGTTCCTTTGTCACTACTTACCAGAGCAAGATTCTTTTTTTGATTTCACAGTAGCATTAGGAAGATGTAAGGGCAGTGTCCAAGCAAGTCCTCATGCTGGGTGGGTATGAATTCTTTCACAGTCTGAAGCCTACGGAAGTATTTTGTGTGTGTAGGTTTCGGTTTGTTTTTCGGTTTGTTTTCCTAGCTTTGGAAAGGCAAAAATAAAACAGATGTAGTTTAGTTTACAAATTTCACATCTTCAACTTAATATGTTGGGAAAATCTTTATATACTCTCACCCCAAGTTGCTTATTTATGTATTAATAATAACAAAAAACCCTTAATGATTTACAGTGCTTTCATCTGTTATTAAGGTGACTTTACTAGGCCTGTGTATTTCACAGGAGAGATGTTTACGTATGAAAGGAGGATTGGATTAATTATTTTGACCTTAACAGAGTAGTTGATCCTGTTAAAACCGTATCTCTCAAAGTATTAAGTGTAGATTAATTTTATCTCTCATGAGGTAATTAATCTTGCATTAAGGTGTAGTTTGGTTTTTTGTTGGGTTTTTTTTTCTTTACACAAGTTCACCTGGTGTGGCATGATGCTGTTGGTTTAGTCACCTGCTTTGGTGTGGATCTTCTTGCCTCCTGATGACCATTAGCCATACCTGAATGGGCACAGGCCAGGGTTCACTGGTTCCCCAGCGGTGGGTTCTTTGGCTCACCCATGAGGGTGGCCCCCCGCCTGCCACCTGTCCGGTTGCAGAAGGGAGATGCAGAGATCGTCTTCCCAGCTCCTCACTTACTCACAGGAAGGACACTTTCTGATAGACCCTTCCTCCCTCCTCCTTTCACAGGGGGTCTGCGCTTAATCCTGTTGGGATTCAAAGCAATTTTTGCTATAGACTTCCAAGTCTGGAAGGATTTGCTTCACTGAAGGGTCAGTAAAAGCTTCTGCAGAGTTAAAAAAAGAATGTTGATTTTGTGGGATCCAGAGGCCACCAAGGAAGACTGTGATATTAAATATAGCTATATTGTAGCTGGTGCTAGAGTTTTGGGAAGAGATTTGGCTGACATCAGAGACCGGTTCAGGCTATAGTAGCAGCCATAATCCCTACCACTCTTCAGCGTTTACCACAAACCAACCTACTTCTTTCATTGATGTACTAGCTTCAGTCCCACAGAATAACATCAGGATCCAGCATTTTTTCCTTCCATGCCTTTCTGCTGGAGAAATGTGTAAGAAATAAATGGTGTAGTCAGCATCTGCTACTTTTTGACTCAACTTTGTAAAATCCATCTCCCTTTTAAAAACTTGCATTCCAATTTTTGTTCAGAAATGAGCTATGGAATAATGCAATTGTAACCTTTCTTTCCTATTACCTTTCTAAAATAAGGGAGCACGTTTGGCAGGTGCAGGGTAATGTGGCTATGCTGGTTTGTTGTTTGGGGTTTTTTTTTTTTTGTAACAGTTAATGGGAAATAAAAAGAATTAGGTATCTCTTTTTAACAGCGCACATGCATTCTGGAGGGAGATGATAAAAGTAAATACTTCATAATGCAGTAAATATAACATGTTTACAGTCTGATGCCTGATTTAAGAAAAAAACAGGCTATCAATTATTTATGCTTCTTTGATTAATGCTGTTAGAATTCATACAGTGATACTTTATCCAAAAAAAGAAAATGCAACTTAGTAAAGACTTGATTTAAATGTAATGAAGTACTATGATGATAAGTTTACAAAAAAAGAAAGCCTTTACGTGCCATAAACTTAACCATTTTATATTCTGTAGCTGAAAACATATTAATGAGCTGAAGACTATTCCACAACTTTTTCCATTGCAAAGAGTATTTTTCAAATTGTTCAAATGGGACCTACTAGCTGGATGATCCATATTTTTGATGTGTCTTGAATTCATGAACATGTTAAGGTTTCTGCAGTGAAAGCTATTCGGAATTAACTTTATCTTGTCAAATGATTTCTGTCTGTAGTGCAAGGTACTATAGGATACTTGAAAATACTTGAAGATACTGTGCACGTACTTCACATCTTTGTAGTTCTTTATTTTATACCTAGAGATTGGCTGTTAAACTAAGAGAGAGCATCAATACCTTATAAACTATATATTTTACTATATGGGGAAATCACTGGCTTGTTGGTTTTTTTTTTAAAGGTGGGTATTGAAGTTTACATTAATGACAAAATCAGGTACTGTTTTCCTTTTTTTATTTTTCCTGTGGCATTTCAATCCATTGGATATTAAATGTGCAAAACAGTTTTACAGGTGTAGTTCATTTGCTGAATTGCAATAAAATTTGTCTTCTAACATGAAGAATAGCATTAATGTGCTATTTTCAAAAGCCTCTTATATTTTTGCTCATCACCTTTTCTTCTTTGCCCGACTGCAGGTAGGTATGCCATTTTAGTGTCTGATTTCAGGAGACATGTTTTGTACCTTTCTTTTAGCTGATCTGTTCAACTAAACGCCTGCCTCCCTCCCCGCACCAGTGTAGCCTTCTGGCAAGCAGTTGTTGTCAGACTGCCGGCAGCGGAAGAGATGCCTGCTCGGTAATCAGGGAATGGGGAGCACAGGAAGGCAAAGGCCTGATGCAGGTCTTGGAAAGTATCTGTGAGTACACACACACATAGGTGCTGCCATTTATATTAGCTTTTTTCCTAGCTTAGAACAACTTTTCATCCTAATAACCAAATTTTGTGGATGTCTCCAGATTTTGTGTTCTGAAAAATAGTCACCTCCATGTACCATGTACTTGACCTTTCTCTTTATGTGAGAGGATCCATAGAGAGAAGCAGAAAATGCTGGAAATGTAGCTGATGCTTCAAATACAAGGTTAAGTGGGAAAATAGCACTGTTCTCCATTTCTGAGATTCTCATGACATCTGTGGCACACGTGCGCCCAAGTATTATTGCCTGTATTGCTTGTTTCCTATGTTTTTGCTCCATCTTTGCCAAGGTTAAGATTTAAGTTGACAGAAGGTCCCAGAGGACATGGGTGGAAGGATTGTGTTGGCACAGACACAACAGTATTGTTTCCTTCCTTCTCCGTTCATTCTCTTTTTTGAATGAGTTGAAGTACATATCGATGTAGTGGAGCCCTGTAGAATCTTGGTTCATTAGATACTGCTCTGCTTATCTCACCTTGAAACTACTTCTGCCTGCCTTACTCTATATTAAATCTAGTTTTTAGATCTGAGTGGAGTAGCAAACAAATGTGAGCACAATGCATTTGTGGTTATGCTGTCATAACTTTTCTCCTGCCTATGACCTGAAAGTTTTACTTGTCAAAGTAAACTGACCAAGTCAGTTTTACTCACTTGCATCTCCTCCTTCATTCAAAATGCATTCTCCAGACAGCCCTGCTGGAGCAGGAGAGTTGGACAAGATGACCTCCGAAGTTCCCTTCTAACCTCAGTCACTGATGTGCGGTTCCTCCCCATGTACAGTGACAGGAACAGGTAAGAAGGCTGGATGCCACTTCCCTCATGTCGTACAGTTTCTGCCATTTAGTAGCCCAGTGTCTGCAAAAAAGAGCACATCCTTCAGGTGTGCTGTTTTTCCTGTGTTTTTAGGGAGCTGCCCTCCCTTTTTTCAGCTGTAGCCAGAGACTTGCGTATTCTTCTGACCTGCGTGTTAGTGATGGCTAAATTCTCCGTTGTCAAATTTCTATCTTGAAGCTGGAAAGCAGAGAAGGTAATTTTCTCAGCCTGTGAACAGTGGTTCAAGTTAGGGCTGTTCTGAAGTTGGTGGGGTTCACTCTGTGTCAAACTATGAGATCATAACTGGGTGTTTTATACCACCAGGGAAAACACAGAAGGGAAGGAGTTTGACTGTTATTTGGAGGTATCTCTGCTTCCTTCACATCTTTCTGTTTCTATACACACTGTCATGGAGGTGGTCCTGTTGTGGAGGCTTTTTAAAAAAAAAAACAAACAAACCACAAAAAGTGTTTAAGATCTTTCTTGGGGAAATCACATCAGTCTTCCTGAGCTGGCTGTGATTCTGCACTACAAAAAAACTGATGGTATCATCCTGTGGGCTCGCTGGGGGAGATGCTGAGAGGGTGAACTCAGGCTGCCCCACACTCTGGTGAGGTGGTGCTGGTGGCCTGAGCCTCACACAGGTTTGGCATGGGTGCAGTCGTGAAGTTGGTACCTGCTGTGAGTCGTGCTGCTCTTGTGGCAGGGGCAAAACTTGGAAACCGAGACCATCTCAATTCTCTGGGCTTATCAGACCTGCTGCTTCTAATTTGTCTGCAGGGCACTATGGAGGTGGACATGCTGATTACTGAAGATGTGTTATTTTACATAGAACTTGATAACCCAAACAGTAGCTTGGAAGAGCCTTGGATA